AATCTCACCATCCCAGGCTCTTCCAGAAATATGTTAGCCTTCCAAAGTTCTCCTCAATCTCACCGTCCCAGGCTCCTCCAGAAATGAGCTTGCTGACTTGTACACTCACCCCACCTCCACTCTTTCTTCTAATGCTAAAGGCAATTCCAAATGTGACTCGTTCCAGATTTACTGCCTCCACAGTGCTTCTATTCAACGAGCGTCTGGCTGTAGGGATTTATCCTGGTCAGAACATATTCTGATGGCATATATAGACACATTGTGTCTGTTAGGATTTTATTTGACAACATTTAAACCAACTGGTGTTTGGTCAGACCAGGTAAATCTTTGTATTTCTGAATGAGAACCAGATTCATAACTAAAAATCAGCTTTGGGCTTCCCAGCTGGTGTCTAACGCCATGAACTAATGAATGGTTTCCGTATTCATTCAACATTCACATTACAAGTATTCATACAAACAACTCTCATGATTGAAGTAGGGCTCAGGGATTCATATGATACAAGCTGCGGTCATACATGTGAGGTAGGGGCAGCATATACAGTGCCGCACTAAGAGTGGCGTGAATTCACAAAGTGAGGTGACTGCAGCCGTTTCTAAGGTGCTGCGAGGTGAGTGAGGAAGGAATTCTCCCTGCTAACATGGAGTGCTCATCACAGAAGGTTTCCTAAGTTCTGACATTTTACTTGCCAGCTACACAACTAAATGGCTCAGTTCCAGGGACTTTATATTAGAAACAAATAACCCAATACTGCCACTTTCTCAGATCTAGAATTTGTATTACCTTGCTGGACCCCTTTTTTGAATTTTATGCCTAAACATTTTCCCCTTTCTTTCTCCACCTAATTGCTATGGATCATTACCTTCTTTCCAATGCCGAAGCCCTCAACGCTCTAGTGGATTCACTTCTGTGTTAAAAAACCTTAATCTTAAAACTATTAAGTTCCTCCTCCCCCACCAGGGACAGTGCTGGGCACCCAACTACTCTTGCTTTGGTCATTCATTCTGTCTCTTCCACTTTTCAAAAGTCAGCTACCCAAGTAACTCTCCCACCCAACACCTAGTGAAGTTTAAAAACCAAAACAAACACACACACACACAAACGGGAACATAATTGTATAGTTCCCCTACACAGATGTATTTGTCATCTAAATCTATTTGCTTCTCTTATCTCTTCATGGAGATGGTTTTGTAACACTCCTTATTCTGCAGCCGTTTCAGTGGAGACAGCCATCATGATGGGGAGCAAGTAAGAGGTATGCTAATGTCCAGATAGTTGGAGATTTTTCTAGATATCTATTAGTGTTTCCTGATTTCATTTCTTTGTGATCTAATAACAGACTGTAGATATCAAGCTTTTAAGTTTACTGAGGTTTACACTACAGTCAAGAGTATGGCTCATCTCGCTGAGGCAGGCAGCTTTAGAAGTGACCACTAAAAGATGGCCTCGGGCGCACAAGCAGAACGCTTCTTGCCCTTTTGCCCAAAGAGGAGACGCGGAACGGTCCAGGTAAAAATCAGCTGAGTCATGGGTTACTAAATGTCCTGTGGTAGCTCTCTGTCTCCTGTGCAAGGATTACTGTCACACACTTGGTTTCTGTGTCTACAGGGAGAGACAGAACCTAAACCCTGTCAGTTTATATAGTCTGCAAAGACAGTCAGGGCTCACTAGAGAAACACTTCTTTCACAGGCTGGAGTAAAACTAACTAAAACTAGCTAAGCCTAGAAGATCCTGTGATCCCAGAAGATAAGGAAATGTAAGGGAAGTGGGGTGCAGTAAAAACATCATGCTTCCAACTTACAGAAGTCTTCAGTGGCCAAATAAAGACAGTGAGGGGAAATTTTATAATGGTAATAGATTACAACCCAAATAAAGCAAAACCCCACACTACTATAAATGGACTATTAAATAAATAAATGGAGGGGAAAGATAGTTTTTTCCTTATATGAGATGACAAGTATATGGCTGAGAGAAATGTTGACAGTACTTAAAAACCCAGCATGAGGCAAACAACAAAGCAATAACAATATCAGGTAAGACTAATCAATGGAGGCTCAAGGCAAGAGTGGGAAACATAAGCAGCAAGGTATTTGTCCTCTTAAAGTATCTCCCAACGAGATGTTAAATCCAGAGACAAAAATGATAACTTCCCAGTGGGGAATGCTGGGGTTCAGGCAGATACCACCTGAACCATTGTTTATAGTTAACATACTCGTGACAAGTCAGATTGGTAAGCCCTGTATGATATGCTCAATGGGGTACTACAAGATTCTGTGGTATACATAAGCCCAATCTAATTATGAGAAAATATGAGACAAACCCAAATAGAATCCATTACACAAAACAACTGGCCAGTTACAAATGTCATGGTCATAAACTATAAAGCAAGGTTGAGAAGCTGTCACAGACCAGAAGAGACAAAATGATATGATACTTTAAGTATAATGGATCTTAGACAAATAAAATAATGGGAAAATAATGCAATTCAAATAAAGTATATAAACTAGCTAATGGTATTTTCCCCAATGATAATTTCCTGGTAGTGATCATCATACTGTAGTTAGCTATATTGAAGAAAAGAAGGAGAATGAAATTGAGCAAACATCAGCAAGCTGATTATCTCTAGGCTATAAATTTGAATAGTGTTCATATGTTTTTCTCTATTCGATGACACTTCAGCCACCAAACTCCAAGTCTGGGTCAGCAGACGTCAAGTTTAAAGACACGAATTATGCCCGTCTACTACCTCACCTTGGTGACAGAGGCTTCTTGCAGCCTGATCTAACAACACAACTTAAGGCTCAATCCGTTGCATCAGCCTGAATCCTGAACAAGCCATTAATTTCAGCAAAGGGAAAGCCTGTTCCCAAGTGCTAGTGATTTCCTTATAAACCTATGAGTCACAGATGAGCTCCGTGAAGGCTGGGATACCCAATTCTGAAATGCACGGCTTCTCTGCCCCGTCTCCGAATAACGATCCCTGGAGCTGCCTCTGAAGCTCTCACCCTAAAAGCTCCTTCATTACTCACTTCATGCTTTCCCAGCCCCTTTGCTACCAAAACAAGCTTGTTAAAGGTAACCATCCAAGACCTGGCTTTAGAAAAAAAAAGGAGAATGGGCTGAGGAGAGGGCTCCGTGTGAGCAGGTGCCGCCATTCCTGATGATCTGACTTCCGAGTTAGAGGCCCCCATCCATGTGTAGAATGAGGGAGCTGATCTCTATATGGGCTCTTTGACCTGAACATCTCTTCTCTGTCTCTGTCTCACACCACTCAAATAAACAATAGAAAATGATTTTAAAAGGATTTCAAACCTGTTACGGCCATAGCCTCTTCTTCTATGACAAGGTCCAGAAACCAAAGTTGAAGGAGAACCAGAAAATTCCAGTCCTGCAGCACACAAGCCTATCAAGCATCTCCTCGCTGGCAGTAAACAGTTACTGTCACAGGTTCAAGGCAACTGTAAAGCACCTGGGTATCTGATGGCAAAGTCACCAAATGGCTTTGTTCCACTCTGCCCGATTCATTACAAATTATACCAAACTACCAATCCGTTACCACCTCCCCGCCACGCCTCCCTGAAGGGTTTCCTCATTCATTTTTCCTTGTTACTTCCCCTCAAGTTCACAGGCTTGATACACTCTTTCGCCCTCCCTCCCACTAATCCTTCTTCACTCAAATCTCAGCATGGAGTCCATGTCCCACAGGAAGCCTGATCTACAAAACAGGGTGCTGAGGAAATGTGCTGATTGCCAAATGTTGAAACGCACTTTTTCCCAAGTCTGGGCAATGAAACATATCCGCAAAAACAAATGTAATGTGGACAGAGTGGCGGGATGTCTGGATGCTTACGATTATGATCATAAAAGCAAGAAGAGCAGGCTTCAGCCTAGGGTACCCGGGATCGCCCCCCTTTCAAACCTTTTAGCTCATAAAAAGTTT